GTCAACGCAATTGCACGAACTTGCCCTCAATTGTTGCGACTAGACCTCGGGGGCAACGACATCAGTGATGGCGCACTGCAAATTGTGGGTCAAGCCTGTCCTCTCCTGGAGAGCCTCGACGTCCAAGATAGTGGCATTGGTGATGGTGCCATGCAAGCGGTGGCGCAAAGGTGCGCCCGAATAGAAGAATTGAATGTGGACGAATGTGCAAATCTGACAGATGCGGCTTTCCTTGCAGTTGCGCAGGGTTGTCCACGGCCGCGTTCATTGCTCATCTGGAGTTCCTCGCCATGCACAGACCGTCTGCCGAGGCCAAAAGTTACCGACACCGCTATCTATGCCCTTGCGCAGCAGTGCCCGCGCATTGAAATCCTTGAGCTGTGCGGGCTGGAGTCTCTGAGCGACGCGGCCATGCAAGCAGCGGCTATCGGTTGCCCATCGCTGAAAGAGCTAGATGCAAGCTTTTGCTGTCAGCTGACTGATGCAGCGGCGCAATCCCTTGTGCATCACAATTCTAGTTTATCGATCTTGAATTTGCGGGATTGCGCGAAGATCACCACTTCTGGTGTCAGCGCTTTGGCGCAAATCACCGCTCCACTGAAATACTAGGATGTCCGGCCCATTCAGTTATCGAGGGAGATCTTTTGTGAATGTGTAGTATGTGGGCGAGACGCCGTGTGAGGGACCTCCGTACCAGCGTTGCCCCTCAGCACGCTGTGGTCTTAGTGCAGCAGGCTGCGCGTTCATGCAGTGCACAGGCGCTCCCTCTTCGAGTTGCAGGGCAGGGAGATGCGGCTGCATCTTGGCAGTGAGCACGGCGGTGCTTTTCAGCCACCTGCCATCTTTACTCTTTCGTCACTGTGACAGCGTTGCTGCTCAGCATGCTGCGAGCGGTGCTCATCAACATGCTGTGGATTGTAGCCTCCGTGATGTAGAAAAATGTTCCTGCAGGTCCTTGTGCGCATGTGTTTCATTGCTAGCAGTATCTCGTTTTGAGATGCAGTTCTCGAAAGCAGTGAGTCGTTCGAAACTAAGTCCATGGATCGCAGTGTCTCGTTCGGAGATAAATCCAGTGATCGCGGTGTCTCATTTGGCTAAATCCATTAGTAGCAGTGTCTCCTTTGGGGCTAAAGCCATCGGTGGCATTGTCTCGTTTGGAATTAAACCCATTGATAGCAGTGTCTCGTTTGGAGATACAGTTCCCGAGACAGTGAGTCGTTCGAAACTATACCCATTGATAGTAGTCTCGTTCATAGATAAATCCAGTGATTGCAGTGTCTCATTTGGGGCTAAACCCATTGATAGCAGTGTCTCGTTTGGGGCTGAATCCATGGATGGTAGTGTCTCGTTTGAACGTAAACCCTTGATCGCAGTGTCTCGTTTGGAGATACAGTTATCGAAAGCAGTGAGTCGTTCGAACCTTAACCCATTCATAGCAGTGCCTCGCTCATTTTACAGCAGGAATCCAACATGAATATTCAGTTGAATGCTTCCAGATATGCTATTTCACATCGCTGTTCGGTTGCTTTGTCGGGATAATTATTTTCCGGGAAGTTTTCCTCGTTTCAAACGAAGGCCGTCAAGTTCAGCGACTTCGGCGGCAGCGGCGCCGAGGCCATCGAGAAGGCCGAGGAGTGGGCGGCGAAGCAGCAGCGCTTGATCGGCAAGCGCTGAGGAGGGGCACCCTCGCGGGCGCCGCGCCGCGTGGGCGCTGCGGCCCGCGCGCCGGGGAAGCGCGCGCGGTCGCGCGCGGGCGTGTCCGCCCCCGAGCCCCTGAGGGGCTCGAAGGCCCCTCCGCCCAGCGCGCGCGGTCGCGCGCGCTGGGCCGCGGGCGCGCGCGGCGCGCCGCGGCCGCGCCTCGGGCCGCCTCGGGCCGCCCCGGCGCGCGTTCGTTAAGAGTATAAGAATGGAGCCAGCCTTAGCATAGCGATAGCGATCGCTCGGCGGATGGAGGGGAGATGGAGGGGCAGCGATGGCGATCGCTCGGGGGAGGAAGAGGAGGGATGAGGAAGAGAAGGAGGAGGAAGACGAGGAATATGATGAGGTGAAGGAGCGGCAGCGACGGCGATCGCTTGGGGGGGGAGGAAGAAGTAGGGGGGAAGAGGGGGCGGCGGGAGGTAGGAGGTAGCGATATCGATCGCTCGGAGGAAAGGAGGGCAGAAGGCTCGGGGAGGTAGCGATGGCGATCACATAGCGATGGCGACCGTTGCATTGCGAATTCGCTGCCCCCCTTCCAGCAATCATCTTTCGCAGCCGTATCGCGCCGAGTCCTCTCCGCGTAAGCGTCGAGGCCGCGGCCTCGGAGGGCTGGCCTCGCCTCGCGCCGTCGTGTCCGAGGACTACTTCTCCGCGCCTTCTTCTCGGAGTTCGGGCAGGGCGCGGCGGGGGCTCTGGCGGCGGCGGGGGCGGGGGGTGAGGCGGCGGGGGCGCAGGCGGGGGCGCGGCCTGAGGCTGGCGAGGGCGAGTTCAGGGCGGCCGGCGGCGAGGCTGAGCGGCCGGCGGCGGCGGGGGCGCAGGCGGAGGCTGAGCGGCTGGCTGCCATAGGCCGAGCTGCTACAGCAATGCGCCGACCTGCAGGCGGAGGAAGCCTGGGCGCTGGCCGAGCCCGACGGCGAGCCCAACAGCGAGCCCGACGTTGAGGTCGACGGCCAGCCCGACACCGAGCCCGACGACAACGGCGAGCCCAACGGCGAGCCCGACGTTGAGGTCGACGGCCAGCCCGATACCGAGCCCGACACCGAGCCCGGCGTTCAGGTCGACGGCCAGTCCGACACCGGGCCCGACGACGACGGCGAGCCCGACGCGCAGGCCGACGCCGACAGCGCGATGGCGGCCGATCGCGAGGAGTGGGGCGAGGTCGAGATAGAGGGGCCGCCAGAGGAGGAGCCGCCGAGGATGGCAGCCTCGCCAGAGGAGCCGCCGAGGAGCAGCGGGAGCGGAGGCAGCACGTTGAGCACCAGCTTGAGGCCATGCGTGGACAGGGCGGAGGCTTAGCGGGAGCGGAGGCAGCACGTGGCGGAGGGTATGCGCGCGGCTTTGCCCTTGGCGCCTGGGGCTTCCACGTCGGGCGAGGGGGTGGGGCAGCCCCGCGGCCCCCCGGGGGGTCCTCGGCGGCGCTCGAAGGCCGCCGTGCCTTTGGCGGCGCCCCCATCGAAGGCTCCGTCGCCGTGGGCGACGGGGAATGCCCCACGGGCTCCGCCGCCCAAGCCGAGGGGCGGACCCAAGCCGCCAACGGGCCCGCCCTTAGCCCGCCCTTAGAGGCGGCGTGGCGCGCGGAGTACGAGGCGCGGCGCTCGGGCCAGGGGGCGGGCAACAGCCGCGAGCAAGTCATCAACCTTCGCGCGGAGGCGAATGCGGCGAAAGCCATGGGCCTCAGCTGGAGGGAGCGCGGCCCCCGCGGGCCACAGGAGGGCGGGCCCGAGACGCGGCGTGGCCAGCGCTACCGCGTCAACGCGGGCCAGCGGGCGAACCGCGGCGGGCGCAACTGCGCGCGCTTCGCGGCGAAGTACGGCGGCGCCATCCGCGGGCGGGCCCCGCCTGGCAGCAGGCCCAGCGGCGGCGGCGGCGGCGCGGCGCCCTCGGCGCCCAGGGTGGTGGCGCCGAGGGCGGGGGCGCCGCCGAGGCCGTCGCGGCGGCCGCCCGCCGCCGCGTAACTGGCGGCGGCCGCCCCCGCCGCGGGCGCGGCCTCGCGCGCGGCCGCGCCCGCCACCGCGCCGCCGCGGGCCCCATCGCGGGCTCTCGCGGGCTCTTGCGGCCGCCGCGGGCTCGGGCGCCCGCGCTGCGAGGTCAGCCGCGGGCCGCCCCCGCCGCCGCCGCCGCAGGCCCCCGCGCCCCCCCGCCATGAGCCGCCCGCGCGCCACTGCGCCCGACTCCGGCGGTTTGCCTTCGCGGCCTCTTATAAGAAGCTAGCGCCGCCTGCGATCAGGTGAAACATGGGCCGCAGCTGGCTGGAGGGAGATAAGCGGAGAAGCGATGGCGATCGCTAGTGGAGGAGGAGGGCGTGGGGGAGAAGGATGAGGAGGAGGAGGAGGAGGAGGAGGAGGAGGAAGAGGAGGAGGAGGAGGGTGAGGAGGATTAGAAGAGGAAGAGGAGGAGCGATGACGGTGGAGGGAGGAGGGGGTCGACGTGGACGAGGCGGCGGCCGCGGCGGCCCCCCCCTTCTTCTCGACCTCCTCTGGCGACCTCCCCCCCCTGCTTCTCGACCTCCTCTCGCTCCTGACCTCAGCCTCTCGTGCTCCTCTCGCCCCTGACCTCGCGGCTGCGCTCGCGCCCGCTCTTGCCGCGCCCCCCCCGCCCCGTATTTGATCTTCCGCCAACTCGCGTTGGGCGCGGCCTCGTTGGAAGGGCGGGCCCATGTCTGTTGGGCTGACGACGACGGCGACAACGACGACGATGACAACAACGATGGGGGCAGCGATGAGGATGGGGGCAGCGATGATGATGAGTGATGATGATGGTGATGCGATGATGATGAGTGGCGACAATGCGTGATGATGGCTAGGTGACGATGATGAGTGGCGATGATGAGCGATGGTGGGCGATTGATGATGGTGATGGGCGCGTGGTGATGCGTGACGATGATGAGTTACGATTATGAGAGATGATGGTGAATGACAGTGTGGTGGGCGTCGGGCGTCGCCGGCTGGGGAAGCGATTCCGATCGCTGGGCATGCGCGCGCGACGATGGGTGGGAGCGATTCCGATCGCTGTCGTCGGGTGGGGGGGCGATTTCGACCGCTGGCCGCGCGCGCGCATTGCGCGCATCATTGAACATTGAACACATTGGCAGAGCCGCTTGGCGGCTCCGCGCGGCCGCGCCGGGCCTCCGCGCGCGATTTCGCGGCGCCTGGCGTCTTCGCGGCGCCCGGCGGACTGGCGGCCCCGCCCGCCGCCTTCGCGCCGAGAGGCGCGCGCCCGCGCCTCTCGCGGGCTCTCGCGGGCCTCCGCCCGCGCCTCGCGCGAGTCAAGAAGGGCGCGCCTCGCGCCTGGTTCCGCGCGAGAACATCGGGCAGATGTCGGCCGACAATGGCGAGCAGGTCTCCCGGTTCAAGATCGAGTGCCAGGTGGGGGGCCGCGGCAAGGTCATGTACAAGGGACCCTTCGGCGAGTGCTCGGAGCGGTACGAAAACCACTTGAAGGTCTCCACGGCCGAAAGCCACAGGAAGCACAGCGAGCAGGAGGCCAGAGACGCGTCTCTCCTCGACGCGGTGCCCGAGGAGCTGACGCCAGAGGAGGTCGAAGAGTGGCAGCAGTGGGAGGCCCAGAAGCGCGAGGACGCCGAGAGGGAGGCGGCGGCGCAGCGGGGGCCGCGGGCGCGGCACCCGCGGCGGCCGCGGGCGCGGCGGCCCGCCGCGCAGCCCGCCGCGCAGCCGCAGCCGCGCCCGCCGCGGCGGGCGCCGCACTTCGCCGCGCGCGATGCGCCCGCGCGCGCCCCCGCGCGGCCTCAGCGGCCCGCCTCTATCGGCCGGCGCGGGGGGCTTCGGGCGCCGCGTTCCAAAGACGGCGGGCTCGAGCCCTCATTTGCAGACGCAGCTCGAGCAGACCGTGCGAGCGATGTCGGAGACGGCGCAGGCGATCCGCGCCGCCGCGGACGCGGCGCCCCCTGCTGCGAGCGGGGGCGGCCGGGGAATCCAGCGCCTTCGGCCGTCGATGGCGGCGGGCGGGCCAAGCGCCGCGGAACTCGCCGCGGCCCCGATGGGCTTGCCTGGCATGGCGACGAGCGCAGCTGGAGCTGGGCTCTCGGCGGCCAGCGCCAAGCGCATCCTGGGCTGCATCAGGCGCGCGGAGCGCTGCGCCATTGCGGCGGCGGACGTCTGCACCAAGGCGGCCGACGCGTTCAAGAACGAGGCCCGCTCGCTGTTGTCCTCGAGGAGCGACGTGGAGCAAGCGCTGGGCCGCGGGCGCGGGCTCTGAGGCGCGCGCGCGCTCGGCCGCGGGCGCGGAGGCGCGCTCGGCCGCTCGGCCGCGGGGCGCGCGGGGCGCGCCGCGCCTCGGGCCGCCCAGGCAAGGCGCGCCATGAGAGAAAGAGTGGAGGCTAGCATAGCGATGGCGATCGCTCGGAGGATGGAGGGGGGATGGAGGGGCAGCGATGGCGACCTCTTGGGGGAGGAGGAGGGGAAGGGGATGAGGAAGAGACGGAGGAGGAAGAGGGGGAAAATGACGAGGAGAAGGAGGGGCAGCGATGGCGGTCGCTCGGGGGAGGAAGAGGAGGCGGATGGGGGGGGGGGAGAGGAGGGAGATGAGGAGGGGCGGCGGGAGGTAGGAGGTAGCGATATCGATCGCTCGGAGGAAAGGGGGCCAGAAGGGTGGGCAGCGATGGCAATCGCTTGGGGGAGGTAGCGATATCGATCGCTTGGAGGAAAGGAGGTCAGAACGGTGGGCAGCGATGACAATCGCTTCGGGAGGTAGCGATGGCGATCGCCCGGGGGAAGAAGAGGATGATGATGAGGAGGAAACTAGCGATATCGATCGCTCAAGGTTGTTACTTACTGCAGTAATTATTGCAAGTGTCAATGGGGAAAACTGGCATCATTTTTGTTATCCGGTTGCTATAGTGTTGTTGTCTTGGTCACAACAACAAGAGACAGCAAAGGCTAACGCATGGATACCACAATGATAACATGTTATTATATGCCCCCATGGTGATATCATTTAATTATCATGGTCGGGGAAACAAATGAAGAACACGAAGCTAATAAGTTTACTACTTATGGTATTTGCGATATTGTTTGAATACATATCGAAATGCAACCGATCGCGATGACGAGCGATGCTGATCGCTGCCGTCTGTGGCTCAAGTGTGAGCGACTGAGGTCGCGCGACCTCCGTCGCGCCTCGACTCGTCGCGCGCGCGCCGCGCTAGCCGCGCCTCGCGCGGGGCGCTAGGGGCGGCGGCCGACGACGCGGCCAGCGAGAGCGACGGCCAGTAGACCTCGCAGCTCGCCCGCAGCCCCTCGGACGAGTCCTTGCCCCATGACGCGGCGGCCGACGTAGGCTTCGGCGGCGAGGCCAAGGGGCCCGACCCGTCGGGCGACGGGGGCGCAGAGGCTGAGGCTGAAGAGGGCGGGGCGGACGCCGAGGCCGACGGTGGCGAGGGCGCCGCAGGACTTCACGGGCATCCCGGACATGGCGAAGAGGGCGCGCGCAGGAGGAGGCCAGCCGCCGCCGCGAGCAAGGGCGCCGAGGCGGAGGTGGGCGAGCCCGAGGTGGCAAGGGCCAAGGCGCCGCCGGAGCGCACTCGCGCCTCCAAGAAGGACAGGGGGTTGCGAAGGCCGCGAGGAAAGCGGAGTCCAAGGCGAAGGCGAAGGCCGTGGCCATGGCAAAGGAGAAGGCCGCCCAGTCATCGAGCGCGACCAGCAACCTGCGGCGCTGGGTGGCGCGACGGGCAAGTGGCGAAGCGCCGCGCGAGCCCGCGAAGGCGAAGGCGAAGGCGACGGCGGCGCTTAGGCGACTGCGAAGGCGGAGCCCGCGAAGGCGAAGGATGCGCTGGCGGCGCTGGCGGAGGCGAATGCAGCGAAGGAGGAGAAGGAGGCGGAGGCGCTCGGCGAGGAATTTGCCGACGCCGACGCCCGGGCGACGTGGCGCGCCGGTGCGCTCGCAGTGATTTCGTCGCCGTCCAAGCGTGGGCGCGGCGAGCTCGACCTCGAGACAATCGAGGCGGCGTACTACTGCGATCGCTGCAACCAGCCCTGCAAATCGTGGCGAGCTACCCCGTGCGCGTGGCGAAGAAGGGCCAGGCCCCCCGCTGCAACCTTTGCAGCGCGCGGGGGGGCGCAGGCGCATCGCCCCCCTCAGTGGAAGGAGATGCAGAAGCACGTGGGGGAGTTCAGCTTGGAGGAGCGCGCCAAGTTCTGGGCGCGCGCTCGCGAGAGCTCGGGGGCGCGGGGGCTGGGGGCCTTCATCAGGGGCGCGATCAAGTCCATCAGCGAGGAGGGGGCGAAGGCGTCCAAGAAAGGAGGCCACTACCCGCTGAGCTGGCGCAAGCGGCAGGGCTACCCTTGGAAACACATCGAGAAAACATGCCAGGACAAGCTCGACCATCCCGCGATGGGGCTGCGCTACAAGGCGGACGCCCACGAGATCGAACAGCGGGGCCAACGTCGCGCAGCGGTCGAAGGAGCTTGGGGGGTCACGCGAAGCGAAGCAAGAGGATGTGAAGCCTGTGCGCGCGTGCCAGAACAAAAAAGCGCGTGCTGATGACGCCGGCGAAGAAGGCGCCGATGACTCTGCGGACGGTGATGACGACGAAGGAAGCTCTGACCGCGCAGACTCTGATGGCGGCGCCGCAGAAGATGACGCGGGAGACTCTGATGACGAACAGGAGCCGGATGAAGATGATGACTCAGAGCGCTCTGGTGGAGTTGCTTCAGACAGCGGGAAAGACAGCCAGGGCGACTCCGAGGGCGACAGTGACAGCGAGAGCAAGAGCGATGATGACTCCGACGACAGAGGCGCCGGCAAGTCCAAGCGCGAGAGCGTGGACAACAAGCAAGGGGGCGGACAGGGCCAAGGGCGCCGCGAGCACGGGCAAGAGCAAAGGCAACGCCAAGGCCAACGAGAAGGACAAGAACAGGGACAAGCGGCCAGCCAAGGAGCAGGACTTGCCCCACGGGCAGCGATGGCGATCGCTCGGAGGAGGAGCAGGAGGAGGAGGAGGAGGAGGAGGAGGAGGAGGAGGAGGAGGAGGGGGAGGGGGGGGAGGAGGAGGAGGGGGAGGGGGGGAAGAGGAGGAGAGGAAGAGGAGGGGTCTGCGTGTTGTTGGGTTGTCCAAGGACAAGATCGCGAACGAGGGCAAGGGGAGCGGCGAGGACGGGAGCGACAAGGACAAGAGCAAGAGCAGGGCCAATGACAGGACAAAAGTGCTCAAAGAGCACAGGCGAGAGCAGGGGCAACGAGAAGGGCGCGGACAGGGCCAAGCGGCCAGCCAAGGACAAGGACAGGGCCACGGACAAGGACAAGGACAATGACAATAAGCGTAAAAGGCCACGGGCAGCAGCAGCGGCAACAGCTGCTCGCCCAGGCGGTCGCCATCGCGGCCGCGCGAGTCCATCGCGGACCGCAAGAAGCGCGAGAAGGCCGAGCAGAAAAGCGAAGCAGGAGCGCGAGAAGAAGGAGCGCGACGCGAGGCTCCTGGCGACGCGGACCCTGGCCAGGATTGCGATCCTCATGGGCAAATTGGACGCGGCGCTGGAAATTCAAGGGCTGAGCGCGCTCCCAGAGGCCGTCAGTGACCACGCCCGCTCGCTCGCGGATAAGCTGGCCCAGATGAAGAAGATCGCCGACAAGGTCAACGGGCGCCGCCAGAGCCCGAGCGACTTCTGCTGGAGCCAGCAGGAGGTGAACGACGCCTGCGCGCAGGCTACGGCGCAGGCGCAGCTGGCGACGACGATGACCAAGTCGATCGCTCGCATGGGCCAGTCGCGAGGCCCAGCGGCGTTGGCGCGCGCGCTGCTCCGCTTGGAGCAACGCGCAGTGGCGCGCCTCACCCAGAGCGGTGCTCGCGCGTTTGGCGGCGGAGGCCAGCAGCCGAGTGCCCGCGCTGGACCGCGCCAAGTTGCTCTGCGATGCGGACGGCGATGCGAGACGAAGGCTCGCCGGGCAGGGATCAGCAGTCGTCCGTCGCCATCGCTCTGCGGGCGGCCTGAGTGGCGCCTGAGCGCCGCGACCGCGGCGCGCAGTGACGCGCGCCGCCCCGGGCGGGGCGGTTGCTGGCGGGGCGCGCGGGGCGCGCCGCGGCCGCGCTTCGGGCCGCCGCGGCGCGCGCTCGCTAAGAGTAAAAGAATGGTGCCATCCTTAGCATGGCGATGGCGATCGTTCGGAGGTTGGAGGGGAGATGGAGGGGCAGCGACGGCGATCGATTGGGGGGGGCGAGGAAGAGAATGAGAAGGAAGAGGAGGGATGCGACGAGGAGAAGGAGGGGCAGCGATGGCGATCGCTTCGGGGGGGGGGTGGGGGCGAGGAAGAGAAGGCGGAGGAAGAGGGGGGATATGATGAGGAGAAGGAGGGGCAGCGATGGCGATGTTTTTTTGTTTTGGGGGGGATGGCGATCGCTTGGGCGAGGGCGGGAGGGGTGAGAAGCGATGGCCGCTCGCATGGGCGAGGCGAGCCGCTTCGGCTCGCAGGCCCGCGCGCGGGCCTCGCGCGCGCGCGAGGGCCGCGCGAGCTGCTCGCTCGCGCGCGCGGGCGCCACGGCATGAAGCCCGCTGGCCCCGTGCGAATGCGGGGTGGCCCCGTCGGCGCGCGCGAGGCCAAGCGGCGTCGGCTCACCGACGTCATCGCTATCCACGGCGCGACTGGCAGGGCTTCGCTCGCGTCGCCAAGAAGTTCGCGGAGCCTGGCAGCGCGGCAGAGGTGGCTCGAAAATCGATCGGATCCACCGTTAACGTTGTATTCGATGAGATCGGGGCGACCGTCGAGTTGCCCATGGAAGATGGCGGGCCGCCCTTCGAGTGGAAGGCCGCCCGCGCCGGCGAGCTCCTGCGGCGCGCTTGCAGCGGCAGCCCAGTGTTCAGCGAGCTTCTCGGGCGCGCCGCTCTCGCTGGCAGCGGCGCGCCGCTCTCGCTGGCCCCGTGCATGGGCGAAGTGGCGCCAGGCGACGCGTTGGCTCTGAGGCGCGATCGGAAGTTCTGGATCATCGTCTTTACCTTCCTGGAGTTCGGCTCTGATATGCTTCGCAGGGGGGAGCTGCGGCTGCCGTTGGGGCGTCTGCGGGCGAACGTGGGCGATCGCGTGGGCGGCGGCGTCTCCTGCGCCACGCGGCTCCTCCTCAGGGAGATGTTCTTCGGGCCCTCCAGGCTCGCGGGCGCTGGCGCGCCAGCGGCGTCGGCCGGCGGCGCCTCGGCGTTGGCGCGCGCGCGCTGCCCCGAGCTTCTGGCGGACAT